CCTCCCACTATTTGTTCTGAATTATTAATTTTTGCTATAACTATAGTAGCCCCTTTGTTATCACATTTTTGATGAAATGCTGCATTTGTACCGCCATCCTTACTGGCACGATAAAGTAAATTAAAACCATAAGGCATCGTTTTATCATTGTAATGTAAATTTTCTTTCTTATCGATCCAACTGGAAAATATGGCAAAGTGATGAGGTTTAACTAGGATTGAATCATAAACTAATTTTAACTGTCTAGGTGGTTGTATATTTTGTATATTCATACTTAATTTCTTGTCTGGTGCCAAAGCATATTCTAAGAGGTTAATAATCAAATCTTTTGGTAATAAGTCTCTAAACGGAAGTACATTTTTAAGAAATTCTTCTGAAGACATATAATGAAATCTAACTAAAGGGATAAATCTATGTAGAGTTCTTTCCATAACTACAGTTTCTTCGTTGTTCCATTTTTTGACATCTTTAGGAATTGATGGGTTCTGACCAAAACCCCACTTAATTAAACTATCCCAAACTTCAATTTCTTTTAAACTTAAATCATCTCGTTTTAAAAGGAATTCTAATAAAGAAGATTTTATATTGATAAATTTATCAGAATTAAATAACTCTTTGGGGTTTTCACAAATTTTTTCAAGATAAAAATTCCTTAATTTCGTAAAGGACTCTTGTTGATAAATTGTTTCAAGAATTTCTATAGGATTTTTTTTTTGTAGAAATTCATAATGGTCTTTCATCAAATGTTCTTCAATTCCGAGAACTAAAGATTGGAGATTAAGTGCACTTGCTGCCTTTAAGAGCTCTAATAATCCAGTTCCTTCTAATTTCGTCAAGTCAACCTTTCCGCAATATATAAATCTGAAATTCAAAGAGAAAATAATATGTTATATTAAATATACCTTAGTTTATTTTTATTAGTACATACTAATTACTATATTTTACCTTAAAATAATTTTAAAAATTTGTGGAGGAATATCAGGCACTTTTAAAACAAATTTCCCTCCATTTTTCTCAACATTTTCCTTGGTTAATATATCATAAAAATATTGCGACCTGGAACATAAAATATTTGAATGGGCATGTAGTTCTTTAACGTTTTCTTTCTCACCAGCATAAATAAGGACATCATATCTTTTGTCATTTTCCAGTAACTTTTCATAATCATTAGCAATTTCTTGTAAATATTCTAAAGACATTTTTCGAAGAAAGTTAAATTGAAAAAAAAAAAAAAATAAAAAAAGAGTCATTGAAGATGTAAATTTATTAATTTGGAAACTGTTGCATGATGATCTTAGCTATTTATGCATACTGATGAGAACATTTATAAAATTATGTTCTTCCAAAATTCGAATTATTAACTAAAAAGAAATATTGACAAATAAAGATCATAAATAATTATAATAATCAGCTATTTTTACGATCGACTTGCCAACACTATTACCGACCAACATATCAGTGAAAGCTTTTCCAGCATTTTCGATTCCCTCGATAACATTTTCTTTACAAATAATTTTACCGGATTTAACCCATTCCAACATATCAGTTTCAAAATCTTTTTCGACTTGACTTCCAATAAAATCCATTGCAAGAAATCCGTGAACACAAATACTTTTGTGAATGATCGAATCCAAATTTTTTACTCCATACTTTTCTTTTTGATTTGTAATATTATATTGTGATATCATCCCACAAACTGGTATACGAGCGAAACGATTGCAATGATTAAGGACTACCTCGAGAGTTTTGCCACTGTTTTTTTTTATTTATTTATTTTTTTTTTAAAAAAAAAAAATTGAGAAATGAGTGAGAAGTCACACGCGAAAACACGCGATAAAATTAAGCTTACCCGACGTTTTCAAAATAAATATCAATACCGTTTGGACAAAGTTCAGATAAAGTCTACAAAGTTATGAATATTGTTTAAAAAATCTGTAAAGGTTCCAAAAATTCTAACAATTCCTAATCATACCTTATCAAGGTCAACTTTTTTGTAGTTAAAGGCAGCATCGAATTTTAATTCATTCAAAAGGAAATCGACTTTTTCGTCAGATCCAGTAGATCCAACCACCTTCAATCCTTTAATTTTTGCGATTTGACCAACGAGATGTCCGGTGGCTCCAGCCGCACACTAAAAAAAAAAAAATTCAAATCGGTTTATTTTTTTTAAATAAAAAAGAAAAAAAATAATATTGTTTTACATACTGAAATATAAATTGTCTCTCCTGCTTTTGGTTTTCCGAGAGCCATTAAAGATCCGTAAGGAGTCAATCCACTTAACTGAAGAAGGCTAATTTGATAACTCAATGGAACCTCTTTTAATAATTTTTTATGATAATTAATGTTTTTAAAATGAATATCATTTATCTTTTTAGCATCAGTCTTAATATGAGTGTATTCTTCCCAACCTAAATTAAAAAGAGAGAGAGAGGAGATTAATATTCAACTTTAAATGAGGTTTACATAAACATTAAAAAAATTCTTATTATTTACCGATTAATCCATAAACAAGATCACCAACTTTAAGGTTTGGATTATTTGATTTTACAACTTCAGAAACACCAATACCACTCAAAACATGACCGATTGCCTGCGATGGCATAACCGGATCAATATGAGATTCTTTCATGGTCAAACGAACGTAAGGATCTAAAGACAAATAAAGATTCCTCAAAATAAAATCATTTTCTCCCAATTTCAAATTTTTAATATCAATTTTATGATGAACTACTTCAAAATGCACGTTGGAATTGGGTAATCCTTCTGGAACAGCCTTGAAAATGATCCCTTTGTTCGATACGGTAGACATGATTTAATTTAATTGTCAGTAATAGATAAAGAAGGAAATCACTATATTTATATGATCTGAAACCGCAACCGAAGATCCGAACGAAAATCTAATCGGCTAAATGGATTAAGAAAAAGTGTTTAGGTGACAATCAACGGATTAATGCATCTTAATTTAATAATTTGGAAAAGCAATAAACTTTTCTATAAAAGGAAAAATATAACACTTCCTATTGATTAAATTTTTATTTTAACAAGTCGAATAAAAATTCTGAATAAGCAAGTACATTAGTGTTTCGGGCGATACTAGTTTCGCCAAATTGAGCTGCAAAAATCTTTCCAAATTTAGGGTTTCGGAGGTTTCGGATAGTTTCGGATCATAGAAAAATTCTCTGGGCGAAACGTTTTCGGATGTTGAAAAATAGTTTCGCCTGAAACACTAAAGTACATCAATGCTTTCATTACCTTTTATGATTGGTTTCTATTTGTCGATTCAATAAATGAATAAATATCTTTAACAAGGATCACCAAGATTTAATAACCGTTTATATCCTGGCCCAAATTGAAGATTTGTAAGCTGCGCCACACAACCACGATCGCGCTCAATGCTTCCCTTCCCAATTACTATTTTGCAGAATAGACATTGCTTAAGTGCATTGCATGCAAGTAACTTTTTTTAAAATTTTTGCATCGTAAAAATTTACATATATAATAATAAAGAAGTAAATAAATAGTAAAGTTAAGTTTTATAATAAGTATACTCTAATTGAAATGAGACAAATAAAAGAGTGATATAATCAGTTCACATTGATGATTTGACAATTCTCGCTATATTCGAATATGGCTTGGTATTCATCAAGTTTCATAATTTTTATAAATAGTTATTCAATGTCCTTTGTATTGATATTTTGAGTGATATGCTCGTCTACAAGAGCGTAACGATAATGCTTGACCTATAACTCTATTACATTGTTCAAGCCGTGATCCGCTCCTAATCTTGCTCCTTTTAGAATAGAAAACTCTCGTTTTCAATTATTATGTAGACGTGATGAATTATATGTAATTAATACTTAATAAATACGAAATTTTGGATAATGAATTTTATTATTATTATTATTTTTTAAAGTATTTAATAAATTGTAATAAAATATTAATTCATAAATGTTCCGCTTACCTTTACAATGTTGTTTTATTAATCAAGTTGGTTCGAAATGGTACGTCAGTCTCATTTGCATTTTAAAGGCCTTTAACTGAAACATAAGCATGGATCTGTTGTGCAGAAGGAATTGTTATATACAGGCGTAGTCTTGCAAAATTTCATGTTATCAAGTATGTTGAATATTACCTTTATGCTATGCTGTAGATTTTGACAAATCTCTACTCTAATAAACTCCGTAGCCAGGATAGACAGATAGAGCAAGGGTTTAATAATATGAACACGTTATCTTTAAGCATGGTTATTTATTTAACTTTTACTTTTCTAGAATAAGCTCTTTGGTTTCAAATAAATTTCTGTCACAAGTATTCGTTTGAAATGATGATTTCCGGAACTTATCATTGGTAGTAATCAAAAATAATATTGGTTTTTTTTTATTAAAAGAAAAAAACACGAAACGTAATTGAACCGTATTTTCTAATCCTTCAAGTTTTGTAAAAAAAAAAAAAAAAAAAAAAAAAATTCAAAAATCATGTATGGTTTGCTGCTATATTAATGATAATAACTTTTTCGGTTCACAATATTCCTACACCTTCACAAGAACCTAGTTTTCAACCCTTCGTTGATAGTAATACGTGTTTTGGTGCGTCAATGGTATACTTTTTCTTGTACTGCATGCATATATCGATTTATTCACATACAATATCCTGAAATTTTTACGTTTCACAAAAAAAAAATTTAACGAAAACAAAGAAAAGTTCTCAACAAGCCCTGTCGCACGCGACGGCAATAGCAGGATTAATTGTAATATCATTGATCTTGGAGTTACTTTGGTAATGGGTGGAACTACTTACAATTTGCAAGTTGCATTGGCCTTTTCAGGTTTACTTTGGCTTGAAAATCACGTGCTGTTACCTTTGCCGCGTCAGTAAACGTTGGTTTTGTTTACGGAGAGACTTTATAACAATCATCTACCTCCTTTCCTTATCTTGGTGAATGAAATATAAGCGAACAGAATATTTTAATCTATCATGGGGAGAAGTCTTGTAAAGATAATTTCCTCAACAAGATAATAGTGAACTATAATTTTCGTGGTTTTTTTTTGAATAATGGATTTAACACATTGATGGGTTACAATAGTTCCAATAACAGAATTTAAAAACCAATTATTGGGTGTATTTTAGTAATGCCATATTAAATCTTTTATAGTAAGATCATCAACCAAAAGGTATACGCAAGGTCAAGTCAAAGATAAGTTCAAATCTTATTC